TTTTTTTTTTTTTTTAATAATAAAAAATAATCATAAAAGAAGAAAATCAAGTTAACTTACTTTACTTTAATTTATTTAATAAAATATTTATGTATTCTCAATAAAAATATACTAAAAATCTATTCGAGTACTCACCTGGGCGCCTTGCGCCTCAAATACTGTTCGTTGCGAGCAATCATCTCGAGGAATTTCTTGACCAGTCCAGGATTCGGATACAGTTCGATATCCGAGGCGAGGATGAAGTGTGTGAGGGCGGCATCACGCGCAATGTTGCGACCCACATTGACCGGGTAGAGCAGCTTCTTCTGCGCCTTGTACAAGTGCCCGGAGCTGACATTGAAGTAGGGCGCCGGCAGCGAGCAGTTGTAGCCAGTCTTCAGAGCATCCTGTGCCTTGGGCACGCTCTTGGGTATGTGCTTGGTGCCGAAGTAAACGTGGAAGGTGGCATATGCGCGCACCAGTTGATTATCGGGCGCACAGTCCCGCAAATATTTGATGGAGTCCAGCGTGGGCTGGAAATCCGTGCCGGGCGCATGCATAGCTATGCTAATGGGCGCATTCCAGCTGCGAGAGGGGGCAGATCATCAAAATATTAGAATATATCAAAGAGACTCCTTCTGATCGGATCACTCACCGTTGCAGCAGCGGCACCAGATTGTCCAGAAAGGTGTAATCCGCATGCGTTGTATAGGTAATGGACTCGTGGCACTTGATCTCGCCATGATCGGCTCTCACATAGTTCTGGAGCACCCAGAAATCACCGCGTTGTAGCGTCTGCTGATTATAATCGCGATCAAAGCAATTGAGCAGTGTCCGCACGCGCTCATCCAACTCCTTCTCATCGCCGGTAACTATGTAGCTATCCGGCTGTGTGTTGTTCAGCTCTGACATTGAGCTGCTGCTGCCAATGTTGCCAACCACCTGGACAGGATCCACTGAATTGGAAGGCAAGCCACTGTCGTTGACTACTGCGGCCGGAGGTGCAGCAGCTGCGGCTGACTCTGAGTTGGCATTGCCTGTGCCGACGGCCAAGAGTTTCTCCTCTGCAAAAGCCGCCTCTGCCTGTAGAAAGAGCATAGGATTTAATTAACTCACATTGTTGGATAACTCCATACACACACACTTACATTTTTGGACGTGGGCGGTTGCTGTGGCAGCAGTGGAGCCGCCTGTAATGAGGCTACCGCCGGCGGCTGTTGCTCCTGCAGCAAAAATCCGCCGCCGCTGGTGAAATTGTTGCCACCGCCGTTCATCAGGATGCAGCCGATGTAGAGCAAAACAGCCACATTTATGAGAATGCTGCACCGCAGCAGCCAATTGCGACGTGTGAACATTTTCTGACCCAGCGGCTCAAAGCGCATGTTAAAGCTGAAACAATATAATTGTTATTGTTATTAGTTTATTAAATTAAAAAACTGATCAATTCAAAATTAAAAACAGTTAAACAATAACATCACTGTTAGCAGAGCGCCATCTATATTTTCATTTATGTACCAAAGAGCACTTGCCATTCACAAGCTGTGCCACTGTTGTTGTTCAACTACTAACAAACACTGTTTACTTTCTGTTAAACCATTAGGCAGTAACATTTCTCTTAGCTCAAGCGCCATCTATGTTAATACCATGGTACTATAAACAAACTACTAAGCGTTGCCATCTCTGGCGCAATCGCTCATGAGCACTGTTAGCGATTCCAGCGCCGCTGTTGCTCATAACATTCTGTTACATTAACATTCTGTTAAGGTAATATGAGTATTTTTTTAAGTATCGCACATCTCAAATGCGAACCATTTTGAGTAAATTTCAACAGCTGTTCGTGTCGGCGCCTTTTTTGCTGCTGTTGCCGCATTAATTTCTTGTTAATTCAATTGCTTCCAAAATTTGCATAATATTTTATATACACTACACAAGTGAGCACACTCCGAAAATGTCATTGCAACAAGCTTTGGATGATTGCCTAATCGACTTCGACAGACGTGTGCTGGTCACCGATTTGCTGGAAGAGTATAAATTGACGTACAAAGAGGCGCACGATAAGCTTGAGGCGCATATTAAGCAGCAGGAAAAATCGAGTGCTATCAAATACGAGAAACGCTTTGTGGTGCATGGCACGCTGGCAAATGATGAGGGCGAGCTGTATACGATTGTGCAAGGCGATGCCAAATTAAAGGAATGGCTAAGCAAATTGGAAAACTCGCAATACCACCTGTATTCCGTGGAGGTGGCTGGCGGCTCCAAGAGTGCTGCGCCCATTTTCAAACCCATGCAGCATATGGAGGTGAAGCTGGCAAAGGTGGAGCAGCGGTCAGGCGTTAAACCATTAGCTAATAGCGTGAGCAATGGTGTTCACAAGCCAGTAGAGACTCCAAAGCCCGCCAGCATCAAGGAAGAGCCCTCAAAGGCCGAGGAGCAGAAGAAAACGCCACCTAGTGAACAAAAGGGTAAAGCGAAATCAACAACAACCACAGCGAAAAAGGGCAGCATCGGCAGCTTCTTTTCCGCAGCTCCAGCTGCCAAATCGCAGCCAGCCAAGGAAACAAAAGCAGCTGCAGCCAAGCCAGCGGCAGGCAGCATGGACAACTTCTTTAAAAAGCAACCAAAGGCGAACAGCAGTCAGTCTAACAGTGCACCGAAGGAAGCTTCGCCTGAACAGAAGAATAACTCCATTCAGCTGTTTGCTGAGGAAAGCGAAGTCTCGTCTGATGAAGAGGAAAAACTGGACAAGCTGCGACGCTCTGTGATTGGTTCAGGTGACGAGTCAGACGAGACGGACGCACAGGCACAGACAAAGCACAAGGCAAGCAGCAAACGTCGTCGCATTGTCGACTCCGATGATGAGGAGCAGCCACAAAAGAAATCAGCCGAGAAGCAAAAGCCGCAACAGGAGGAGCAGAAGGTGGACCAGGCAGAGGAGGAGCCAATGGACGTGGAGGCGGCAACAAATGAAACATTTCTGGATGATGATGGCTTTGTCATAACAGTAAAGGCCAAGAAACCAAAGCCAGTTCAGAAGAAGGCTTCGTCGACTGCAACAGCAGCGACTGCAGCAGCTGCGCCAGCTACAAAGAAAAAATCACCGCCGGCAGCTGGGAAAAGCGCAAAGGAGACGCCCAAAGTGAAGCAGGGCAGCATCACGAGCTTCTTCGCCAAAAAGTAAATAATCGAAAGACTAATTATGGGGCTTCATTAAATGTTTAGTTTAAGAACAATGAAATTCTTTCTAGATTAACATTAAATTAAGTATTATTTAGTGCACAGTTTATAACTATTAATTTTGAATAATTAAACTCTGATTGCCCTGCGACTTATTGTAAAATGAATTCTAATTTCATTCGAAATTTGTTGTAAACCAAATTTGTATTAATTTCATTCGAATATTTCTAGAAACAAATTCAAAATTAATTATTTGGAACTCATTCCACATGTATTCTAATACAATTATATATACCACTTTGTAATTGTTCTTGATAATTGCTGTAATCTTTGTTGTAAAATTAACTAACATTCATTCGAGTTAAAATCAACTTACCCCTTGTTCGACTCCATTGTCAGAGTTATTTTAAAACAAATTGTAAATGAATTATTTAGAAGTCATTCTAAATGCAATCCAATATTTTTATCACACTTTGTAATTGGCAATGCTAAATAATTATAACAGAATCCATGTAATTGATTTCTAATTTGTTGCAAACAAGAAATGCTAATTTATTTACAACTCACTCGATATTTTGTTGCAACGCGAACCGATCACAATTTGTTAATTGAATCTTGAAATCTGCAGTGTAAATTTGTTTGCCTGTTCAACTTGTACACGTTTCCGTAGGGTCTGCAACGAACTGTTTCCTATCTGAAGAGCAAGTGTTCTTATAGCTATGAAAAGCAAAAGATTTGCCCATTGCGCTATTTGCATTGCCACTCGCTGACGCTTTGCGTCTTATCGTGGGTGCGAGTGGACGTCATGAATGCTGCGCCAGTTGTGAGTGATTGGCAACTGTTTGCCTTTGGAGCAGAAGTGGCAGCACCAGCAGCAGCAGCTTATCAATCTTTGCAATTACTAATTAGCACCGTCTAATAAATAGACGGGACTCTCACTCAATTGCTCTTCATGCTGCATTTTAAACGTAATTTGCGGTCTGCGACCGCAACGAAAAAAATAACGAGTTTTGTACTGACTTTTTTCATTCTTGTTTGCCTTTTAAAATGCGAGTGCAACGACTTTCCGGAGCAAACCGAACGGACGAAGTGTCGTCAGCATTAGTCAGAGTGGGAAAAAAGTATGAAAAATAAAAAATAAAATGCCGCAGAACAGGAAGTGCGAAATTAGCTACTTTTTTCTCTTTCTCTTTCTCTTTTTTACTTTTATTTGTTTCGCTTTTGGTTTCTGTTGGCTACTTTGCCTAAAGTGCCGCCAGAAATTTAATTAACAACAATTAGTTGAGATTCCCACATTAATTACGCAACGTTTGCGGTGCCTCAGGTAAATAAAAATAATTATGAGAGACAATATTTTTATTAAATTTGTCAGACAAGGGAAATTAAAAGTGCTTATAACGATGCCAAATACTTTTCGCTGATGTGGAACACACTATTCGCACTATTTATATTTTATTTATTAAAGTGAACACAAGAAAGATTTATATATATTTAAAGTAATTTCCTTCGATGTAAGTTTTATTGAGCTCATGCTTATAGATTGTAAGAAGGGGAAGGATCTGTGTTGTATAGAACTCATGATAATAGATTGATAAAAACCTTAAGCTATAGGAAAATTACCGCTCATAACTCATATCATATTAAAGCACGGGCCATCGAAGAGCTCACATTACGGGATGATCATAGATTTTAGGCAGAACTATTACATAATTAAAGCCTTATCTATAGCTAAAACTGAATGAAAGGATACATAACTTTTAAAAAGTCTGTCATTTCAAATTTTCATTATCATTTGAGTTAAGGCAGAAAACTTTTAAAATATTCTATTCTTTAATTTTGTCGATATTCATTATTAGCAAATCAAACAAAATATCACTTAATTTCATCTTTCAAATTTTGTCTTTAATTTACTTGATTTGTTTTAATTTCTGAGCAAGAATAAATAGAACCAAGCGATACAAAAATACAAATATATTATGTTTGTATGCGTTTTATATTAAAATCCACTTTAAATAGACTATAAATAATATCAATTGCGACTGTCTGTCGAACCTCTTAGCAATGCCGACATTTAAAAATAAGTATGTAGATAATCAGATCAATAGAGATAGACGCACATATAAATAGTGAGTGAAATATTGAGAGACAAAGACAAAAATAGAAGTAGAACGGGAAGAGAATAGACCAAGATAATTTTTAAAGCATTTTTTTTTTTTTTTGCCCATTAGTAAAACTGCCAAAATTTCAAATTACACACAAAAAGCAGAGCATAAAATCTATGTCAAATTATTGAACTGGAATTGTACAAAAGGTAATCGTTAAGAAATTTGTGTGTGCAGCACGCAACGATCGTTAAGTAAACAAAAGCGAATATCCATAAATTTGGAAAATCTCTTGACACTTTCGAAGAAAACGTACGAGAAGTGATTAAGGGCCAACTGCCTGCATTGGCGAATTGTGCGTATTAAATTCGCATTTCATCCAAATTTTTATTTTTTTATATACATTATTATTACTTTTTTTTTGTCGTTATTTTGTGGCTGTTGCGTGTGCTCATTAGGGCAGTAAAAACGTATCATTCGAATACAAATTTACGGTTGCTTTTAAGATGTAGCTGTTGCTGTTGTTGTTGTTGTTGTTGCCTGAGCTGGAGCTGGAGCTGGCCCATTCATTAGAGGCTCCCCCCGGGGGCACACGCGCCCCGACATTTTACACGCGTCATTGGCATCGGCCGCCGTCGCGTTGCTGATGGATTGAAGTGAAAACTGCGAGATGCTTCAAGTTCAATGCACTGTCTTGACTGATGGCCCGCCCCTCGCCGCTCCCCACAGCCCACAGCGTGGGGGCTGCTGTGTTAGGCGATTTTATCAGCAGGTTCTATAGAAACATATATATATATATATATAATGAAACAAAAAGAAAAAAAAATAAAGTGCCACTGGTTTTTGTGTTTCTGGGACACGACACCAGCATATGGGACTGGATTGTTTGATAAATTTGCATAGCTCGGGGGCCAAGTGCTCAAGTCAAACGCCTTAAGGCATCCATCTGCAATGCCACACGCACAGGAAGCCTGTGACTGTGACTGAGACTGAGACTGAGACTGAGTCTGAATCTATGACTGTGACTGTGAATGAGAGAAATCAGCATCTCGAATCAGAATAAGAATCTCGTCAAGCTTTCGCACTGCCCGCGGGCCAATTTGATAAAAATCT